AGCCCGCCAAGGGCGTCCCGGATACGCCGGGTTACAAGCCGCCGAAGTATGCGAGCGCCCACGACCTGCGGCGGGCCTTTGCGGACCGGCTAACCGCGGCTGGGGTGTCGGAGCGAGACCTCGCGGCCGTGATGCGGCACGCCAGTGTTGAGACGACGCGTCGGCACTACGCGCCTAACGACGTGCAACGGACTGCGGGCCAGCTGCGATCGCTGCTGCAGGCCGGGCATCGGGGCGATCCCGTTGCGTCCCCATCGTCTTAGACTGGCTCGGCAGCATGACGGGAACCTCAAACGACACGCGGGATACTGTCTCGCTTGACGCGGTTGTGGACTTCTCTGCACCCGCCTTGATGGACCAGACGTTTATCCCGCCCTCCGCTCCCGTCCCAGAAGACTCCGCCGCGGTGACCGCAACGTCGAAGGTGATCTGCTGCTCCGACCCTAGGTCGGTATACATGGCGTTCGGAACCACGGAGGCACCGAGTTCTGCCGCGTGCTGCTGGGCCGCGACAACGCCCTCCACGACCTGGCGAAGGGTGCGTTCGACAAAATCCTTGAGTTCCATTGCAACGTACCTAGGTACACCGAGGCGGCGGAATCGTCGTAAGTCTAGCGCCCCCGGCAGGATTCGAACCTGCGACACACGGTTTAGGAAACCGATGCTCTATCCCCTGAGCTACGGGGGCTTGGCGGATCGTCCATTGCGACCCTCCCAGCGCATCACTTGGTTGGGAAAGTGTACCAGCGGCGGCGGCGGCCGGGTAGTTGGCTGTGGCGGCTGAATCTAAACGTAGTGCAGCGGAGCGGCCGCCGGCTTTCCACCCGACTGATAGGAGTGCTGGAAGGGCAATGCTAGGTGAGCGTGGTTCCGCAGCGCGACGCCGCCGCTGCGTGTGGGTAATACGCACGGTCAATAGCCACGGGGCGGCGATCGCAGACGTAGGTTTGCACGGCGACGCCCTTCGACTTGGGACGATAGGCGCCCCATCTCAACCGCTCAGAAAACGCAGGCGACTGCCCCCTCACCAAACCTTCGGCGCCGCGGCCACAACACCGGGCCGGCTACGCCGGTCTACCTCCTATGCAACTCTGGATCGTCAGCAACAGCGAGCCAACGACCGCGCGGGTGTTGAGCACCCTCCGCGAGCTGGACTTTGACTGCCCACTCGACCATGTGCTGGGGCTGCCGACCGTGCTGGCGGACTCGTTCTCGTGGGACATGGGCGACGGGGTGGTGTTCGTCACAGCCGACGACGTCTCAGGCGACCTGATCAGCGCAATTACAGAGATCCGGGCCAGCAGCAGCAACTCGATCGTCGTGGTGGCCCCCGCATCCGACTCTCGCCGGATGCTGCAGGCGATTCGCGCCGGCGCGGACGACTTCCTGGATGTCGAGAGCGACCTGCGACGCGAGATCGGCGACCTGGTGACCCGGGTGTTCTACGAGCAGCGGCGCTCAGTGGGCCGCGGGCGGCTCGTCAGCGTGTTCCCGGCGTACTCGCAAGGCGATTGCGATCTAACCGCGGTGAACCTAGCTGCGGCGTCCGCACGAGGCGGCCGGTCGTGCGCACTGCTCGACCTCAACCTCAGCGGCGGCGACCTGGCGACCTACCTCGGGGTGAGCCCGCAGCACACGGTCAACGACCTTGTACACCAACCCGACGGCATTGACGAGGGAATGCTGCACCAGGCAATGACCCGGCACGATTCAGGGCTCGCGCTGCTGGCGGGGCCACCGTCGATGTGCTCGCCGGATGACGACGCCCACCACGCGTGCCGCACCATCGCCTCATTGGCGCAGGACAGCTTCTCGCTCGTGTTCGCCTGCCTGACCGGGGCGCACTCGCCCGAGAGCGTCCAGCTGCTGGAGAGGAGCGACTCGCTTGTGATGACGAGGCGCTGTGCCGCAAGCACTCCGACCTGTTGAGCCAGTCGGATCGTCAGCGGCTGATCGACGAGCTCGTCGACGAGACGCTCGGCCTCGGCCCGCTCGAGTCGGTCATGCACGACCCGACGGTGTCGGACGTGCTGATCAACGGACCCCACTGCGTGTACGTCGAGCGCCGGGGGCGGCTCGAGCCCACCGACCTCCGGTTCCGTGACCAGGACCACCTGCTCGATATCGTCCAGCGGATCGTAAGCCGGGTCGGGCGGCGCGTCGACGAAGCGAGCCCGATCGTCGACGCCCGCCTGGCCGACGGGAGCCGGCTCAACGCGGTGATCCCACCGCTGGCGTTGGACGGGGCGCTGGTCTCGATCCGCAAGTTCTCTAAGAAACCGCTCACGCCAGGCGACCTGGTCGCGCGGAAAGCGGCGACGCCGCAGATGCTGGAGTTCCTGGCCGCATGCGTCAAGGCAAGGCTGAACATCCTGGTCGCTGGGGGCACCGGCAGCGGCAAGACCACCCTGCTCAACGCGCTGTCCCGGTTCATCCCCGAGGACGAACGGATCGCCACCATCGAGGACGCGGCGGAGCTTCAGCTGCAGCAGCCCCACGTCGCGCGGATGGAGACCCGCCCCGCCAACCTCGAGTCGCGCGGCGAGATCACCTCGCGCGACCTTGTCCGCAACGCGCTTAGGATGCGTCCCGATCGGATCGTGGTCGGTGAGTGCCGCGGACCCGAGGCGTTCGACATGCTGCAGGCCATGAACACCGGCCACGACGGCGGCATGTCGACCATCCACGCCAACGACGCCCGCGACGCGATGAGCCGGCTCGAGCTGCTGGTGGGGATGGCGGCGCCGGAGCTGCCGATGTGGTTCGTCCACCGGCAGATCGCGTCGGCGATCCACATCGTCGTCCACCTGGCGCGGCTCAGCGGCGGCGAGCGGAAGATCCTGCAGATCTCAGAGATCACCGGCGTGCAGCGCGAGACGATCAGCATGCACGACTTGTTTGTGTTCAACCAGACCGGCGTCGACGCCGACCACCACCCAATCGGCCGGCACGAGGCGTGCGGCATCCAGCCCAACTGCCTCGACCGGCTTGTCGCGTCGGGGGTCGGCTTGCCGAGGGAGTTGTTCCGGCAGGGCGAGTGCCCCGTCGAGCGGATCGACGCGGTGGGGGCCCAGTCATGACCGACAACGCGGTGCTGATCGCCGTTTTCGCGGCTGTGTCGTTGCTATCGGGCGCCGTCGGGCTGGCGGTGTACCACTGGGCGTTCCGCTACCGCGACCTCGTCAACGCGCGGCTGCACGAGCTCGCCCGGGACGATGCGGACGCGGCGTCGGTTTCGCTGTTCAAAGAGAGCGGCCAGCGCGGCGCGTCGATGCTTACTGCCGATTCGCTGCGTGCAACGCTTCAGCGGTTGATCGACCAGTCGGGGCTGCGTTGGACGGTGGGCACGCTGGCTTGGGCGACGGCGGCCGCCGCCGCGGCAGGCGCCGCGGTTGCGCTCTCGGCCGGGGTCGGCCACACGGCGGCGGGCGTCGCCGCCGTGTGCTGCAGCGCGGCGCCGATCGCACTGCTCTACTCCAGGCGGCACAGCCGAACCAAACGCCTGACCAAGCAGCTGCCCGAGGCGTTTCAGCTGATCAGCCGAACCGTTCGCGCCGGACAAACCGTACCGGCCGCGCTCAAGCTGCTCTCTGAGGAGTTCAAGCCGCCGCTGTCCGAGGAGTTCGCGCTCTGCTACGAGCAGCAGAACCTCGGCATGAGCAAGGAGTCCGCCCTCCGCAAGCTCGCCGACCGTACGGGCATCCTCGAGCTGAAGCTGTTCGTGGTGGCCGTGTTCGTTCAATCCAAGTCGGGCGGCGACCTCATGACGCTTCTCGACAACCTAGCGTTGATGGTTCAAAAGCGGCTCCGGCTGAAAGACCGCGTGCGTGCGTTGACCGGCGAGGGCCGGATGCAGGCCAACGTTCTGCTGCTGCTCCCGCTAGCGGCGATGGCCGCCATCCTGGTGCTGGCGCCCGAGTACGCCGCGTCGATCATGGCCCGCCCGTGGCTGCTGCTCGCGACCGCCGGCGCCCAGTTGGCCGGCGTGTTCTGGATCCGCAGGATCGTGGACTTCGACTACTAGTCACCTTAGATGCAAACATGATAAGTCACCAACAAATCTACGCCGCGCTGGTGTTCACCGCGATCTCTGTAGCGGTGTACGCGGTCCTGCACCTGTGGGACCCACGGCAGCGTGCGATCCGGACCCGACTCCGCGAGGTCGGCGGCGACGGCGACCGCGGACCCGCCGGGGCGCTTGAAGCCGGCGGGTCGGGCGGCGAGCGAGACCACTCTCCCTTGGGGGGGCTGCTGCCGCTGTTCGGGGCCGAGGACCGTGCCCGCGTCGAGCAGCGGCTGAGCTTCGCGGGGTACTACCGATCGGCCAACTCGCACTGGTTCTTCTTCGCGCGTTTTCTGATGGTTGCGTTCGCCGCCACGAGCGTAGCCATGCTGTACGTGTTCAACCTGCTCGACGCCGGCGTAGCAATGCCGGCGGCGCTGCTGGCGTGTGGCGCCGCGTACTGTGCTCCGGGCCTGTGGCTGGAACGGGCGATCAGGGTCAACCACAACAGCCTGCGGAAGTCGCTGCCGGACTTCATCGACCTGACGATCATCTGCCTCGAAGCCGGACTCAGCCTGCAGGAGGCGGTGAAACGAGCCGGTGAGGAGATGCGATCAGTCCATCCAACGCTCGCCCGCGAACTCGATCTCGTGCAGTGTGACATCGACCTCGGCTCGACCATCGACCAGGCGCTGAAGCGTTTCGCCGTCCGAACCGACTACGAGGGGGTCGGGCTTCTGAGCAGCCTGGTCAAGGAAGCCCAGCGGTTCGGCACCAATATCGGCGACGCTTTGCGGAGCCACGCGGACATGCTCAGGAACCAGCGGGAACAGCTCGCCGAAGAGAACGCGCAGAAGGCGTCGGTCAAAATCCTCCTGCCGACGCTGCTGCTGATTTTCCCCGCGATCTTCGTCGTGCTGGTGGCGCCCGCCCTGCTGCAGATCCAGGACGCCTACGCGGCCAAATAGGAGCAGGGGACGAAGGGATAAAAAACGCCATGGCAATGAGAGGCAAGAACACCGCCCCCCGACGGGGCACCGCGGCCACGGAGTTCGCGATCTTGATCCCGCTGCTGATGCTGATCGCGCTGGCGTGCTGCGACTTTGGACGGATCGCGGACGCCCGGATGGTGCTCACGAACGCGGCCCGCACCGGCGCCGAGCTGGGCGCCTCGCGCGGCTTTACCGCGTTCACCTACGACGCGTGGGAGGCGTTAGTACGCGACGCGGTGCTCGACGAGATGCAGCACTTCCCGGGTTTCCAGGAACCCGACTTGGATGTCAGCGTGACAACCACTGTCGGCCCAGACGACGTGGTTCAAGTGGAGGTTGGCGTAGGGCACCCGTTCCGCACGTTGATCTCATGGCCCACGCTCCCGAACGAAACAGCCCTCGAAGAGCAGATCCACTTCCGACAGTTCCGCTGATCCCGCATGCCACGCCCGCTACGGCCAACACACGTCTCCCAGCCAAACGCAGCCAGATCGGCCGCGTCGGCGGTCGAGTGCGCGCTAACACTGCCCGTCATGCTGCTGGTCGTGTTCGCGTTGCTGGATCTGGGCGTCGCAGCCGTGCGGGACAACACCCTTTCCAAGGCAGGACGGCAGGTCGCGCGTGAGGCAGTCATGAGCAGCCGGTTCGCCCCAGCCGGGGTACCGAGTTGGGGCCCGGCCACGTACTCGGGCGCCCTGGACGACGGCCAGATCGGCCCGCTCGTGGCGGGCACGCCCCTGCCCCTGCTCTCTGCGGATGAAGTCGCGGTGACCGTGGAGTGGATCGATGGCGACAACGCGCCGGGCGATCGCGTGCGGGTGACGCTTGCGTACGACCACGCGCCGTTGCTGGGCTCGCTCCTGCCGTGGGGACAAACGGCCCTGCGGTCAGAAACCACCATGTGCATCACGCACTAGAACCGGCCCTACGGCGCCGCATTGGAGGCCACGATGCAAGAGATCACTTACACCACCTCTGACTGCCCTCACACTGCCAGTAGGCGCCACGGGAAGGTGCTCGTGCTCCTCGCGGTGCTGCTGCCCGCGTTGATCGCGGTGGCGGGACTGGTGCTCGACGGCGGCGTGGTCATGGACGAGCACCACCGGCTGCAGCACGTTGCCGACGGCGCGGCGACCGCGGCGGCGGTGGACCTGCGTCTGGGGAACCCGTCGGCGACGGCGATCGCCACCGCCGAGCAGTTCGTCCACGCAACCTCAGGGATGCCCGACGCGCAAGTTGTCGTATCGATCCCCCCCACTTCGGGCGACTTCGCCGGCCTGGCGAACCACGTGCAGGTCGACGTCCAGCGTGACTACCAAACCGTCATCCTGCGCGGCGCAGGCGGGCTGATGTCGAAGCCCATCAGCGCACGCGCGGTTGCCGGCGTGGCCGACGCGACCGACGGCGCCGCCCTCATGGCGCTCGACCCCGATCCGGCGCCCATCGATCTCGGCGCGGTGGACGACACGTTGTCCGCCGTTGCGGTCACATCGGTGGTCCAGCAAGCAGTCGCCCAATCTCCGGCCGTCGACTACCTGGCAGGGGTCCCGATCGTCGGTGGCGTGGCGTCCGCGTTGCTGTCCGATGGGCTCGAAGCGCTGCTGCCCGATGTTCTTACGCAGACGCTAACGCAAGCGTCGACCGACCTGGTGCCGCTACCGCTTCCCACAGTTACCGCGGGGCTCGAGGTTGAGGGCCTGGGACAAGTGCGAGTCGAGGGCGCGGTGCTGATCAACACGACCTGGGGCGGCGTGGACCAGGACGGGCGCCCAGCAGGCGTCAGCGCGGGGCCTCCCTACGGGTCGGCCTGCATGCCGCTGTTGCCGACGACCCAGCTACTGGCAAGCGACATACGCGTTACGGGCGGCGTGGACGATCAGGACCAGTACCAACCACTCGACCCGGATGACGAGTCGCCGCTCAGGGCGAACATGCTGCCCACGGACGACCCGCTGGAGGCTCTCCCGCCTCCCTCAACGTCGGTCGATGCGACCAATGTCAGCGCCGCGGTTCACGCTCCGTCCCACGCCATCGCCGTGGCATTGTCCGCTAGCGACGCCGCTGCGTTGCTCGGCGACGTGCTCAGCAGCCTCTCGCCGCTGCTGCAGCCGTTGCTCTCGGCCGTGCTGGCCCCGGTGTCCGACCTCCTCGAGAACCAGACGCTTCAGCCAGGAGTGTACGACTCCATCACGGTCGTCGCGCCCGTCGGGGGCGTCGTGTTTGAACCCGGGGTCTACGTCATCCGCGGCCGGAGCCCGCTCACCAACCTTTCGCTTCTAGCGCTGGGCCCGATCCAAGCCGACGGCGCCATGTTCTATATCACCGACTCCGCCTCCTACGACGCAACCACGGGCATGCCGGACGCGGGCGTTGACCCGTCGACCGCCCCGCCGGCCTCCGTGGGAGCGGTAGTTCCGAGCGTGCTCCTCGCTCCGCTCCTGGCCGGCGCCGCGTACACCGGGCTGCAGGACCCAACCAGCCCCTACGACGGCGTGCTGGTGTATCAGGCCCGGAGCGACCGTCGCCCGATCGTGATCGATGCGCAACACCTCCTCGGGGGCGGCGCGCTGTCCGGGACCGTTTACGCCAAGTGGGGCCACACCATCCTGCTGACGGGCGCAGGCTCGTGCGGTCTCCGGATGGTGAGCGGCACCATGCGGATCGTCACGGTTACGGACGCCACCATCAACCCCGTCGACCTGCTGCCCGCGGCACAAGACGTCTACCTACTGGAGTAGCCCGATGGACCCGAACTACCTTGCGCTGATCGGCGGGCTGGCCGTCGTGGCCTGCTTTGCGTTTGTGCTCCGGCGGCGTGGGTCCGCGGCCTCTCGGGCGGCGGGCAGGCTCGCCAAGCTGGAGGCCGCTTCCAGCGACGCGCTGCTGTGGGTTTCGCGGTCCGGGGCGGTGCTGCAGTGGAACCACATTGCAGAGAAGTTCTTCAGCTCCGGCCTGCTCAGGCGGCGCGTCAGCCTCGACGCGCTGGCCACGCCGGACAGTGGCGCCGGCCTGAGCCGAAGGCTCGCGGAGTGCCTGTGCCTGTCGAGCGTGGAGAATGCCGCCCGCCGTGTCCGGTGCTCTGCCAACGGGTCGGACGGTCAGTCTTTCCCGGTCAGCGTCGACCTCTACCCGCTTGAGAACGAACCGTGCTGCTTGGTGGTGATCGAGGACCAGACCCGGCACGAGGGTTCCGTGAAAGAGTTGCGCGACTACTCGCACCAGCTGCTGGCGACCAAGCAGGCCCTGCTTGCGCAGAACACACAGCTCGAGGAGACCGTGCGGCTGCGCACCGAGGAATTGAGCCGGGCCAAGGACGAGGCCGAGTCCGCCAACCAGGTGAAGACCGAGTTCCTGGCCAACATGTCCCACGAGCTGCGCACGCCGCTCCACGGCATCCTCAGCTTCTCGCGGTTCGGACTTCAACGGACCGGCACGGCGCCCGTGGAGAAAATCAGGGGCTACTTTACCCGCATCAACGCCAACGGCAAGGTGCTGCTGGGCCTGGTCGAGCAACTCCTCGACATGGCCCGGCTAGACGCGGGCTCCGAGACGTTCTCGTTCACCCCCTGCTCGGCGGCGGAGCTTGTCGACGAGGTGCTGCAGGAGTTCGACTCCCTCGCTGAAGAGCGCGGGCTTGAGCTGTCGTGGTCCGCACCCGATGTGCCGGTAATAATCAACGCCGACCGGAAAAAGCTGGCCTGCGTGGTCCGCAACCTTGTCGGCAACGCGGTCAAGCACTCGCCCGACAGCGGAGTGGTGAGCGTTACTCTGGAGACATCCGATAAATCCGGAGCGTGCGTCTTGCGTGTCCGCGACCAGGGTCCCGGCATCCCGGAGGCGGACCTCGTAGCCGTTTTCGAGAAATTCTTCCAGTCGGACGCGGGCGCGCGACTTGGCGTGGGCGCTGGCCTGGGTCTGGCGATCGCCGAACGGATTGTCCACCAGCACGAGGGGTCCATTCGGGCCGACAACAACGAGGCCGGGGGCGCGGTGTTCACGGTCGAGCTCCCGATCCACGCCACTGCAAACCCCGGACTGGCGCCGGCCTAGCCATCGGCGCCCGAGACGTACAAGTTAGCCCCTAGGAAGAACGTATGAGCACGCCAGACACAATCCTTGCGGTCGATGACAACGAGGTGAACCTGGAGGTCATCCAGGAAGCCTTAGACGGGTTCTACCGCGTCGCCACGGCGACCAACGGCGTCGACGGTATCGCCATCGCTAAACAGCTCCGGCCCCCGGTCGTGCTGCTGGACGTGATGATGCCGGGGCTCGACGGCTACCAGGTGTGCCGACAGATCAAACAAAGCTACGAACTGGAGGGCGTGCGCGTCATCATGGTGTCCGCTCGCGTCGCGTTGAGTGACAAGCTACGCGGCTACGACGAAGGCGCAGACGGCTACATCGCCAAGCCATTCGATGAGGAAGAGCTTCTCGCCAAGCTCGACTTCGCGATCCGCGCCAGGCGACTCGAACAATCATGCGGGGCAATCGGCGACGTGCTTGCGTTCGTAGCGACGCTGCGTGACACCGGGCGCCTGAGCAGCCTTGACCGCACTCGGGCATTTAACCACCTCTTGGCCGAGAGAACACTCGACGCTTCTCCGGAACTGCTGGAGTGCCGCCAAGGATTCCTCGACCATTTGCACTACGCCTGCGTCCTGAAGGACGTTGGCATGCTCTCCATCCCGGTGCGAATCGCCGAGGCGGCCGACCCCATTACTCTCAGCCGCAACGACTACGAACTCCTCAAGGAGCACACCCTAATTGGCGGACGTCTGCTCGCCCGGATGGCAAAGCAGCACCCCGACACAACGCTCTTCCCTATGGCGGCGGAGGTCGCCCAGTCGCACCACGAGCGGTTTGATGGATCTGGTTACCCGGAGGGGTTGCGCGGTGATGAGATCCCGCTATCGGCCCGGATCGTAGCCGTTGTCGACCGCTACGAATCACTGCTCAACGCGGCGGGCCCCGGGTCGCGGCCTGGACTTAATGCCGTGCACAAGCAACTCGCAGACGACTGCGGCAGCCTGCTCGACCCGGATCTCACCACGCGTTTCCTGCAAGTGCTAGACGATCTAAATCGAGACTCTGCGGTTCCGAGCGAGATCCTGGCGCAGTGGCACTGAGCAAAGGGGCAAATCTATTCGGGCCGCTGCTGGTCACGATCGAGCCAGCACGGCCGCGCGAGGACCACCGCCGATAGAAAGGGCGGTGCGTGGCTCCCCGCGTGGCTTCGCATGGCCTATAGTAGCAACTCTCCACGCTATCCTCCGCTCTGGACACGGACGCCCGCCCAGCGAGATCGACCACATGACCCCCGGCCACGAACCGTACGGGCAGTCCACCGGGCTCCTCTCCGCAGTGATGGCGTCGTGCCGTGACGCCATCATCGCCCGCTCTTTCGACGGCCGCATTGAAGCCTGGAACCGCGGCGCCGAGGAGATCTACGGTTACTCCCAAGACGAGGCGATCGGCGAGAACGTTTCGCTCACCACGCCGCCAGACCGCAGGAGTGAGCTAAAGCGCCTGCGTGACGCGGCGCGGGACGGCCAGGTTATCGAGAACTTCGACACGGTCCGTACCCGCAAGAACGGCGAATCATTCCCTGTGGCAATCTGCGGGTTCCCCATCAAGGACAAACAGGGGACCGCGGTTGGGTACGCCACGGTCGAACGCGACATCTCCGACCGGGTGCGTTCCGCGGACGAGTTGCGGCGGGCACTGGCCGAGGCTCAGGATGCGACCGCCGCAAAGTCGCGGTTCCTGGCGAACGCCAGCCACGAGCTGCGTACGCCGATGAACGCGATCGTTGGCATGACAGCGCTCGCCCTCGAAGAAGACATCTCGCTGGAGCTCCGCGACTACCTGGAGACCATCCGCGACTCTTCCGACGCGATGCTGCACCTCATCAACGACGTGCTCGACCTGTCAAAGTTTCAGGCGGAAGAATTCGAACTAGACGAGACCCCCTTCAACCCCCGCGAATTGCTGGAAGGGGCCACCAAGGTGCTTGGTCCAGCGGCCCACGCGAAGGGTCTCGAGCTGGTGTGCCACGTCGCTCCCGACGTGCCGTCACGACTGATCGGCGACCCGGTCCGCCTCCGCCAGATCATCACAAATCTGGTGGGCAACGCCGTCAAATTCACCGCCGCCGGCGAGGTTGTGGTGGAGCTGACAGAGGTGGAGTCGCACCACCGTCGGTGCCGGCTGGCGTTCCGCATCGCGGACACCGGCATCGGCATCTCGGACGAGGACCAGACCCGTATCTTCGCACCATTCACCCAGGTAGACGGCGCCACCACGCGGCGGTACACCGGCACCGGTTTGGGGCTCACCATCACCCAGCACCTGATCCATTGCTTCAACAGCCAGCTGCATGTGGAGAGCGCGCCAGGCGCAGGGAGCGAGTTCTCGTTTGAGTTGACCCTCGCCATCGACGACCAACCCGCGAATCCCGACGCCGAATTGACCGCCAAGATGAAGGGGCTGTCGGTGCTGGTGGTTGACGACAACGAGGCCAGCCGTCAGACGCTAATCGAGCAATTCAACGCCTGGGGCATGAAAGCCCTGGCCGTCGACAGCGGCGACGAGGCCGTCTCGCAACTGCGTGCCGGCGCCCCCGATGGAGGCGGGTTTGACATCGCGGTCGTCGACGCGCTGATGCCAGGGATCGACGGCTTCACGGTCGCGTCGCAGATCGAATCCGACGACTCGCTCGCGACCAAGCCGATCATTATGGCGTCGGCCACCGACCGACTCGAGTTCAGCCGCCGCTGCGCGGAAGCCGGGGCGGCGGCGTTCGTGCAAAAGCCAATCAGCCAATCCCAGCTGCTGAGCGCTATCGGTCAGGCGACTGGCGCGGCCACGCTCGAGGGGCAGCGCAATCAGGGGCTGTTCGACAAGCCAAGCGTTCAGCCGCTCACCATCCTGCTCGTCGAGGACACGCCCGCCAACCGGAAGGTGGTGCAAACGGTGCTCAGTCGGCGGGGGCACCACATCGACATCGCCGTGAACGGCCGCGAGGCCATCGACGAGTTTCGCAAGAAGCCGTTTGATCTTGTCATCATGGACGTGCAGATGCCCATCATGGACGGGTTCCAGGCGACCGAGGCGATCCGCGAAATCGAGCGTAGCGATTCACGGCCGAGCACCCCTATCATTGCGATGACCGCACACTCGATGCGGGGAGATCGCGAACGGTGCCTGCGCGCCGGCATGAGCAGTTACCTGTCAAAGCCACTCGACCTTGCGAAGTTGCTCAAGGTGGTCGAGAGCGTCGCCGATCGGAAGGACGGGAGCGTCGCGTGGCCGTCGAACGAAACGCCGCAAAAAGCGCCGAGCGAGCCGGATGCCGAGGCGCCGCCGAGCCGGCGACTGGTCGACTTGGACGCCGCGCTCAGCCGCCTTCGCGGAGACCGCAGCCTGCTCCGCGACATGATTGGCTTCTACCGCGAGGACGCCCCGACTCTACTTACCGCGATCGCAGAGAGCCTCGAGGCTGGCAACCTCACGACGCTCGAGCGGGCCGCGCACAGTCTGAAGGGGCTGTCGGCGAACTTTGATGCAGAAGCCGTGGTAAACGCTGCCCGCGACCTGGAGCTTGCCGCGCGAACCGGTGAAGAAGGTAAGCTCTCCAAACTGGCCGCTGACCTCACCAAGGCGGCCAACCAGTTGATGGATTTCTTCGAGGACTATTTGGGAGGCGAATAACCGCTCCGAGGCTCAGCTCTTGATCTTGATGTCCGGCCCAATCACGATCCCGTTGGAACGGATCTTGTTACGCAAGCTGCCGCGGGTGATTCCAAGAATCCGCGAGGCTTCCGACTGATTCCCGCCGGTGTGGCTTAGCACACGCGAGAGCAGTTGTTTCTCCATCGCCGCCAGCGTGGCCGCGTAGAGGTCGCCAGAGCCGGCTGCAATCTGCGAGCTAATGAATTCGCCAAGCCCGTTTGCGGCGGCCGAACCATTAGCTGAGGCCTGCTCTCCCTCGGCCACGTGCCCGTTAGAACTGCCGGCATCCCCCTCGCCCTGTGGCTCCGCGGCCGGGGCGGACTTCCTAGGCCGCATGGGGCCTGCGGTCACCTCTTGCGGCAACGCCGAAGCCATCAACACCGGCCCGCTGCAGTGCAGCATCGCCTGCTTGACGACGCTCTGCATCTCCCGCACGTTGCCAGGCCAGTCGTAGTCGAGCAGGCGGCGCATCGCGTCGGGCGCGACGCCCTGCACCTCCCGCCCCAGCTCCTTGTTGAGCTGAGCGAGGAAGTGCTGCAGCAGCATCACCCGGTCGTCGCCACGATCGCGGAGCGGCGGTAGAGTAATCGTGTACCCGTTAAGCCGGTAGAACAGGTCATTTCGGAACTCACCCTCTTCGCACATCGATTCCAGGTCACGGTTGGTCGCCGAGACGATGCGCACATCGGACTTGATCGTGGTGTTGCCGCCCACGCGTTCAAAGGTCTGCTGCTGCAGCAAACGCAGGACCTTACTCTGCACGGCGGGCGACATATCACCCACCTCGTCGAGGAAAATGGTGCCGCCGTCGCACTGCTCGAACTTGCCGATCCGGCGGCTTTCGGCGCCTGTGAACGCGCCTTTTTCATGACCAAACAGCTCGCTCTCGAGCAGCGTCTCCGACAGCGCAGCACAGTTGACCGCGAGGAACGGCGCCTCGCTGCGGGCGCCGTGCTGGTAGATAGCTCGGGCGACCAGTTCTTTGCCGGTGCCGCTTTCTCCACGGATCAGCACCGGAACTGACTGCGGCGCTACGCGGCCGACCGATTTGAACACCTCCTGCATCGCCTCACAGCGACCCACGAACGCGTCCCCTCGGTCCTGCGGCTCGGTAAGGTCGGCCATGCCAACGGGCACGCTCGCAAGCCGCCGCGACTCGATCGCGTGGCCCACCAGCCGTTCGAGATTGTCGACGTCGATCGGCTTGGTGAGATAGTCGAAGGCGCCGAGCTTCATCGCCTCGATAGCGGTCTCGCTGCTGCCGGCGGCCGTCACGATGATGACCGGCAGCCGCGAGTCGATCTGCCGGATCAGGCGGAACGCATCCAGCCCCGACATATCGGGCAGCATCACGTCGAGCAGCACCGCGTCAGGTCGTTCCGACTCGATTGCGTCCACGCCGCCGCGAGCGGTCAACGCGGGCACGACTTCGACGCCAGTGTCCTCGAGGGCCTTCGTAACCAGGTGGTGGACCGAACGGTCATCGTCAATGGATAGCAGGCGGGGCATTGGTCTGTCAGGCGTTCCTGTTCAAAACGGCTGTTTGCCGAGGTTTGTTACAGCTAGCAGCGGCCCGTTGGGTGGGCTCGCCTTGCGATGAACTCCACGACGCATATGGCGTGCCGCTTACCAGTTCGAACGCCGAAAAGGCACTATCACAGCTAACTGCCAGGCACGAATGGTCGCCCAGCGACCACCCCGGTGGAACACAAGCCACCCGGCTCTATGTTAGTGCGTGCGTAGCGATCGACAACGCGGCTGACCGCACGGAGAAAGATGCGAGCAGCCTGTGGCGATCACAGCAGCCCGGGGCAATTGCCACTCGCGACCATCGCGCAACAAAAAACCCCCCGCCGTTGGGCGGGGGGCATTCAGATTCTCGGCAGGCTTGCTCGGATGAGTGCGGCGCATCTTCTCAGCCCGCACTCAAGCCAAGCTGCCTCTTTGTCTTCAAGGTGCTGACCATGTAGAAGGTCATCCCGTAAAGCCCAGGAGCGCCCCATTCCTAGGCCGGAACATCTAGGCTTACATACCACGGGCAGCATTTGAGGTTGGCTAGACGGAGCCACGCAGTCGAGGCACGACCAAGCCAATCAGGAACAGCACCAGGAACACAAAGAACAAGATCTTCGCGATCCCTACGGACGCGCCGGCGATCCCGCCAAAGCCTAGGACACCAGCGATAAGCGCGAGCACCAGAAACGTAATGGCCCAACTCAACATGACTAAGCTCCTGTAGATCGAGTAGTTGTCAGGCCGTGTCACAGGGACCAACGACCGTTTGAAATAGGCGCTTCAACGAAGCTGGAGGAGGGAAACGCATATGGCGTGCCATTGAGGATCTGCAGCGAGTGCCATGTCGTTTTCGGCCGATTCTCAGCGATGTGTCGCTCAACTTCGCCCGTGAAAGGGCCGCTTCCGATCACTCCGTGACGCCAATGGAAGCAGTGTGGTTGCCTGACGGCCGTGGCCCTCGTGACCGAAATCTGTCTCGGCCTTCTTGCCATCCGACGAGCCAAGCTGCCCATCCGGGTTGGGCAGATCGCCAAACCCACCCGAAACCTGTGGATTCTGCCGGTCGGGTGGATAGAATGCAGGTGCGTCCTGCGGGTGGCGGCCGCACGGACGACGTGCTCTCTTCTGTGACGCGTCTAGTTGGAGGCGGAACGAATGCCTTCCGGCGATAGCTTCTCGGCCGACTGGATGGCCATGCTGCTTGGCCCTTCGCAGTCAGGCGATGCCTCCCCCCCATCCGGGCGTGACCCGACCCCGGCGAGCGTCACCAGGTCGATTCTGGACCTGCTGCCGGTGAGCCTGGTGGTGAAAGACGCCGCGGGCCGGCGGGTCTTCTTCAACCAGCACTACGCCGATCTGCACAAGTCCAGCGTTGGAGAACTGCTGGGCAAGACCGACAGCGACCTGTTCCCACCATCCGCCGCGCAGAAGTACCACGACGACGACCAACGCGTTCAGCAAACCGGTGAGGTGCTCCGCGGCGTCGAAGAGCGTCGCGCGCCCGACGGGACGGCCAGCAAGATCGAGCGCATCAAGGGCCCAGTTCGCGACGCTAACGGCGATGTCGTCGGTGTGGCGGTGCTGTTCTGGGACATCTCCGATCAGGCGAGGATTGAAGAAGCTCTCGATCTGGAGCAGGACCTGATGCGGTCGCTGATGGAGAGCATCCCCGACTCGGTTTACTTCAAGGACCGTGAGAGCCGTTTCCTGAGGGTGAGCCAGTCTCAGTCGCAGTTGTTCGGGCTCAGCAAACCCCAGGAAGCCATCGGCAAGACCGATGCGGATATTTTCTCCGTCGAGCACGCCCGGCAGGCGCTGGAGGACGAGCGTCGCATCATGGAGACCGGCGAGCCAATCGTCGCCCAGGTCGAGAAGGAGACCTGGCCCGACCGCGACGACACGTGGGTCTCCACAACCAAGATGCCGCTCCGGAACAACCAGGGCGAAGTGGTGGGCACGTTCGGGATCTCGCGCGACGTCACGGAACTCAAGCGGATGCAACTGGAGCTGGTCTCCGCGCGGGAGATGGCCGAGGCCGCCAACCGTGCGAAAAGCGATTTCCTGGCGAACATGAGCCACGAGATCCGCACGCCGATGAACGGCATCATCGGCATGACCGAGCTGCTCCTCAACACCGAGCTCACCGACGAGCAGCGTGAGTACCAGCTGCTGGTGCAGCGGTCGGCGGACTCGCTGCTGGCGTTGTTGAACGACATCCTCGACTTTTCCAAGATCGAGGCCGGCAAGCTGGAGCTCGAGCACCTGCCGCTGGAGCTGCGGGACACGCTCGGCGGCACGCTGCACACCCTCGCCGGGCGGGCCGCCCAGAAGGGGGTCGAGCTGGCGGTCCACATCGTCCCCAGCGTGCCGGACCACCTCGTTGGCGACGCCTGCCGGCTGCGGCAGGTGGTGGTGAACCTGGTGGGCAACGCGATCAAGTTCACCAGCGAGGGCGAGATCGTCGTGCGGGTGACCCCGGTCGAGGTCACCGACGATTCGGCGACCCTCCGCATCGCGGTGTCGGACACCGGCATCGGCATCTCGCCCGAGAAGCAGGCCCACATCTTCGAGGCCTTCACACAGGCGGACGCGTCGACAACCAGGCAGTACGGCGGCACCGGGCTGGGGCTGGCGATCTCTGGGCAGCTGGTGCAGCTGATGGGCGGCAGCCTGTCGGTCCGCAGCGAGCCCGGCATCGGCAGCACGTTCGAGTTCACCGCGACCTTCGACCGCGCGGAAGAGACGCCCGAAGCCGCCGCGGCGACGCTCTCCACCCTGCACCAGCTGCCGGTGCTGGTGGTCGACGACAACCACACCAACCGGCTCATCTGCACCGAGATGCTCTCCAACTGGGGCATGAAGCCGACCGCCGTGGAGAGCGGCGAGAGCGGGATCCGCGAGTTCGACCGGGCCGCCGGCGGCGGCGCCGGCTACCGGCTGGCGCTGGTCGACGTGATGATGCCCCAGATGGACGGCTTCGAGATGGTGCGGCGGCTGCGCGAGCGCCCGGGCGCCGAGTCGATGGCCGTGATCATGCTCTCGTCCGCCAACCGGCCCGAGGACCGGGCGCTGGCGGACGAGCTGGGCGTCGCGCGGTGCATGACCAAGCCGGTGACGCAGTCGAACCTGCTCAACGGCATCACCAGCGTGCTCGGCACGGCGCGGGTCGACGACTCGCCGGCCAGCAGCCTCACCGCCGACCGCGACGGGGAGTTCGCGCCGCGGAAGATCCTGCTGGCGGAGGACGGGGTCGTGAACCGCAAGGTCGCGGTGAGCCTGCTCCGCAAACGGGGCCACGACGTCACGGCCGTGGAGGACGGGCGGATGGCGGTCGACGCGGTCCGCGTCCAGCGGTTCGACCTGGTGCTCATGGACATCCAGATGCCGGTGCTCGACGGATTCGCGGCCACGGCCGAGATCCGCCGGCTGGAAGCGGACACGGGGCGGCGGCTGCCCATCATCGCCATGACCGCCCACGCCATGAAGGGCGACCGCGAGCGGTGCCTGGACGCGGGCATGGACGATTACGTCTCGAAGCCGTTCCGCCCGGCGGAGCTGTTCGCCGCGGTGGAGAAGGTCCCGCCCAGTCAGGACCAGCCCGACGGCGATGCGCCCACCGCCGCGGTGGGCGGCGCCCCCGCGGTCCCGGCGCCGGTCAGCAACGACGCCCGCCCGTTCGACTACGACCGCGCGCTGGAGAATGTCGGCGGCTGCGAGGAGATGCTGGCCGAGATGATCGACCTGTTCGCCCAGGAGTGCCCGAAGCAGATGGCCGACGTGGAGGAGGCCTGGCGCGCCAGCGACAGCGAAGCGCTCATGCGCGCCGCCCACACGCTGAAGGGCTCGGTGGCGTTGTTCGCCGCGGGCGAGGCCGCGGCGGCCGCCAAGCGGGTCGAGTTCCTCGGCCGGGACGGGAAGCTCGACGAGTTCGTGGACGAGTGGGCGGGGCTCAAGCGGCACGTCGACCAGCTGTTGACCACGCTGCAGGACGCCAAGCCGTAGGACCGGGAACCACGCCGGCCGCCCGCCGGCCGCTGAAGGAACGCCGACATGAAAGTCCTCATCGCCGAAGACAACGCGATGTACCGCGCCGTCCTGTCGCGCAATGTCGAGAACTGGGGCTACGAGCCGGTCGCTGTCGAGGACGGGAAGCGGGCGCTCAAGCTGCTGCAGCGTGAAGGCGCCCCGCGGCTCGCGATCCTCGACTGGCAGATGCCCGGCATGGACGGCATCGACGTCTGCCGCCACGTCAAACGCAACCCCGACCACCCGTTCACCTACGTGGTGATGCTCACCAGCCGCGACGCACAGGAGGACATGGTGGCCGGCCTGAACGCCGGCGCCGACGATTACCTCACCAAGCCGATCGACCCCAAGGTGCTGCGGAGCAAGCTCACCGCCGCCGAGCGGATCGTCAAGCTCGTGCCGCCCAAGGAGTGGGCCGTGCCCCGCATCGACGGGTACGAGGTTCAGAAGCTGCTCGGCAAAGGGGTGTTCGCGTCGGTGTGGAGGGCCATCCGGCAGTCGACCGGCGAGCCGATCGCGCTGAAGATCATCCGCGTCGACCTCGCCACCGACGACGTGTTCGGCCGCTTCGCGCAGGAGATCGAGCTCATGGAGAAGCTCGACCACCCAAACATCGCCCGCATCTACGACAGCCAGATCGACAAGAACCTCGGCTACTATGCGGTGGAGCTGCTGACCGGCGGTACGCTGGAGCAGCACGTCCAGGACAAGTCACCCAAGCCGGCCGTGCTGCTGCACCTGATCTCCAAGGTGTGCGACGGGCTGGACCACGCGCACAGCAAGGGCGTGGTGCACCGCGACCTCAAGCCGTCCAACATCATGATGACCGGGACCGGCGAGCCCAAGATCGTCGACTTCGGCCTCGCGCGGTTCATGTTCGAAGCGGCCGAGCACAACTCGGCCGTGCACTCGATGGAGGGGAGCGTCATCGGCACGCCGCTGTTCATGTCCCCCGAGCAGGCCCGCGGCGACACCGACCACCTCGACGGCCGCGCCGACATCTACGCGCTCGGCATCATCCTGTACGTGATGCTCGTCAGGAAACACCCGCACAAGGTGAACCAGCACAACCGCTGGGAGACCATCCGCGAGATCGCCGAGGGCCGGGCCCGCCGCCCCAGCGAGATCCGCCCCAACTTCAACACCGACATCGAGCGGATCCTGATGAAGGCCCTCGCCGAGAAGCCCGAGGACCGGTACGAGACCGCCGGCCAGTTCGGCGACGCCATCCGCGGCTTCCTCGAGGAGCTGATCCGCCGCAAGCGGCAGAAGAGCAGCAGCTGACGCGTCACGCCGATCGCCCGCTCACGCGTCCGGCCCAGTCTTGTCCGATTCGTTTTGTCCAAAAACACGCGCGGAGGGGACAAAACTCCGGGCGTATTTTCCCCTCGGACGGCGTTTAGAGCTTGTCTAGCAGCGTTTCCTCGGGGGAGGTGCGATCGTGGGCAGGGGTTTTGTCCGATTTCCGTTTCGCAGTGGACAGAACGGACAAGAGCCTACCGGCCCGAGGGCGTTCCCCCCAACCGCGCAGCAGCGACCACAGCCGCCAGCGGAGACGATGGCGGCCCTCGCTGCGTTGCGGTAGCACACCGTCACTAGAGCACTGCAGGTGGCCGGTTTCTACAAGAATCCACGCCCCTGCATGCGATGCCCTTCCTCAGTCGCACGGTGGTCCTCCACCGTGGGCGCCGTGCAAGAGAGCTTGCATGGAGCTCGCTACGGCGTTCACCGCCGAGCTACTCCGCGGGGCGTCCCGCGGACAACAAGACCGACGCCTCCGGCAGGCCGGGCGTGCTGACCCGCAGCGACAGGTTGCCCCCCAGCCCCTCGTCCGCCCGCACGACGATCACCGCCTGGCCATGGAACAGGGTCACCCGGTTGTCCTGCAGCGGGTCGACCGACAACGGGTCGCCGGCGTCGGCGCCGGCGATCTTACCGGGGCCCACCAGGCTCAACGCAAGGGCGTTGTCGGCCAGGGGGCAGACGTTCCCGTCCGCGTCGACGGCGGACACCGTGATGAACGACACGTCCTCGCCGTCGGACACGATCTCCGCCCGGTCCGGCGTGAGCGCGAGCCTCGCGGGCGGGCCGGCGGTGCGGACCGAGGTCGAACCGATTTCTTGACCGTCCTTGTACGCAACGGCGCGCAGCTCGCCCGGCTCGTAGGGCACCTCATTCCAGCGCAGCCGGTAGTCGTAGGTCGGCAGGTAGTACTCGGACTCGAAGTCATCCGCGTAGGCCGCGAACCGGTCGAGCGCCGGGCTGGCGCCTTCCAGGCACGGCCCGAACACCACACGCAAGCGTTGAGCCGTGGCGTCGGTGCGGACGATCAGCTCGTTCACCCCTCCCCAACGCGGCTCGAGCGACGCCCGCTTGGCGAAGAGGGTCTCCCACGCCTCGCCGTCGTCGCTGGCCTCGACCCGCAGGCCGTACAGCTTCGACTCCTTGGGAAACTCGAGCACGATCGTGCGCAGCGGGCGCGGCTCCCGCAGGTCCACCTCGAACAGGGGCGACGGGTCGTCCGGCTCGGGTCGCCACCCCCTGCCCTTCCCCGCCGCGAGCGCATTGGCGGCCGACCTGCCGTCGGCGTGGGTGCTGGCGGTGGCCGAGGCCGACGCGGCCAGGTCCTCGAGCGCCGCGGGCCGTTCGCCCTTGTTGCGGACGCCTAGCGAGCGGCCGTTGAGGAACAGCTCCGCCGAGTCGCCGTTGGTATAAAGTGTCACCGGCACGCCGACGCCCTCCAGCCCCGACCAGTTCCAGTGCGGCGCGAGGTGCACCGTGGAGACATCCGGCCGCCAGTGACTCCGGTAGAGGTAGTAGCGGTCCTTCGGCAGGCCGACCAGGTCGACGATGCCGAAGTAGGAGCTGCGGGCTTGGGACGGGAACGGGGTCGGCTCGCCGAGGTAGTCGAAGCCGGTCCACACGAACTCGCCCGCCAGGTAGCTGTCCTTGCGGAGCCGCTCGAACTCCACCTCCGCCAGGTCGGACCACGGGGCCGACGAGAACTCGTAGGCGTTCACCTGCGGGACGCTCGGGTAGTCGCACTTGGAGTTGGGCAGCGGGAGCTCGTACCACCCGCGGGTGCTCAGCGCCGAGGCGGTCTCGCTGTACAGGATGGGCGTCTGCGGGAACCGGTCGCGGAACCGGGCGTAGCGCCGCTGGTAGTTCCAGCCGGTCAGGTCGAGGTCGGCGAGGATGTCCGAGTCGGCGGTCTGGGGGATGAAGCAGCCGAGCGCCACGGGCCGCGACGTGTCGTGCACGCGGAACGCGTCGCGGGCGGTCCGCAGCCGCTCGCGGGATTTTCCCTCGGCGTCGTACGGCTGATTGCCGATCTCGTTGCCCACCGACCAGACGACCACCGACGGATGGTTGCGGTCGCGGCGGACCAGGCTGGCGGCGTGACGCTGCATGAAGCCATCAAACCCGGGCTCGCCGTCGACACGCCCGGCGGTGCCGTCCCACTTGTCGAACAGTTCGTCCCAGACCACGATCCCCCGCTCGTCGCACAGGTCGAGCACCTCCTGCGCCGGCGGGTTGTGGGCGGTGCGGAGCGCGTTGACGCCCATCTCCCGCATGATGTCGAGCTGGCGCTCGGCGGCGCGGCGGTTGAACGCGGCGCCGAGCGGACCCAGGTCGTGGTGCAGGTTCACGCCCCGGATCGGAACGCGGCGGCCGTTCAGCCAGAAGCCGTCATCGGGAGTAAACGCAAACTCCCGGACGCCGAACCGGGTCTCCCGCCGCTCGACCGTGTGGCCCGCGACGCGGAGCTCGGTCTGGGCGGTGTACAGGGCCGGGTCGTCGACGTCCCAGCGGCGCGGGTCGGCGAGGCGGAACCGGTGCTCGACGACCGCCTTGTCGTGCGCGACCACCTCGACCGACTCGGCCAATTCAGACGCCACAGCGCCGTCGGGCCCGACCAGACGCACCACCACCTCGGCGTCGCGGTTCTTCGCCTGATGGTTCTCCAGCTCGCTGGCCACCACGACGACCGCCTCATCGTCGGAGATTGTCGGGGTGGTGATCTGCGTGCCGTGGTGGCTGAGGTGCAACGGGGGGCTGACCACCAGCGCCACCTGGCGGTAGATCCCCGCGCCCGGGTACCAGCGGGAGTACAGCCTGGTGGTGTCGACGCGGACCGCCACCACGTTGGCGCGGCCGAACCGGACGTGGCGGGTGATGTCGACGCGGAACGGGGTGTAGCCGTAGTCCCACTCGCCTACCAGCTCCCCGTTGACGTACACCCGCGGCGACGCCATCACGCCGTCGAAGTCGAGGTAGACCTGCGAGCCCTCCTCGCGCCGGTCGAGCATCAGCCACTTGCGGTACCAGCCCACCCCACGCCACGGCAGCTTGCCGGTGCCGCCGTCCCCGTTGGGGTCGAACGGGCCGGCGATCGCCCAGTCGTGCGGGGTGCGGACGTCCTGCCACGCGACATCGTCGAAGACGACCTGCTGGGCGTCGGCCGGGTCGCCCCGGTGGAACTTCCAGCCCCGGTTGAAGTCTTGTTCGCGGGCCTCGGCCTGAGCCGCAGAGAACAGGACGAGCAGGCCGACGGCCAGAGCGGAGTGCGTCCTCATTGTTCCCCCACGCCAGGCTCAAAGACGGTGGTCTCGACGGCGTCCCAGTCGATCTCGCCGGTGTGCTGGGCCACCGGCGCCAGCGGGAGCTTGGCCCCCCGCCGAACGAGCACCACGATGGGGACGCGTCCCGCGGTGATGGTCCGCCACGCGGACCCATCGTAAGGCTTGCCGGTTTGGTAATCGACCCACTGGCCCGGCGGGAGGTACACGGAGCGGCGCCGCCCGTCGTCAAAGAGCGGGGCCACCAGCAGGTCTTCGCCCAGCATGTACTGGTCGTCGATGCTCCAGCTTGTAGGGTCGTCGGGGTAGGCGAACAACAGCGGCCGGATCAGCGGCGCGCCCGCCTCCCCCGCCGCCTTGGACTGGGCGACCAGGTACGGGATCAGGCGGTACCGCATCTCGATCGTCTCGCGGAACAGGTCGACAAACTCCGGGTCGTACTCCCACGGCTCGCGGGGCGGCGCCCCGTGGCACCGCGTGTGCGAACCGAGCGCCGCCATCGCCAGCCACCGCGCGTAGAGCTCGCGCGGCGCCCGCTCGACGAATCCGCCGGCGTCGTGGCTCCAGTAGGTGAACCCGCAGAGCCCCAGCGACAGCCCCGCCCGGAGCGAGGCCGCCATCGCCGAGTAGGTGTTCTCGGCGTCGCCGCCCCAGTGCAGCGGGTACCGCTGGCTGCCGGCCCACGCGCTGCGGGCCCAGATGATGCGTTCGCCGTTCGCCTCGGCGGTCAAATCCGACACGACGCGGTTGTAGCGCAGCGGGTAGAGGTTCCGCTCGTGCCAGCCGGTGCGGCCCGATGCGTATAGCCCGTCGAGCGGCGCATCCTCGCCGAAGTCGACCTTGATCGCCCCGACGCCGAGCTCGAGCAGCCCCCGCAGCTTCTCCGTGTACCACGCCACCGCGTCCGGGTTGGTGAAGTCGAGCACGCCGTCCTCGGCGGGCACGCGGCCGCCGCGGTTCTTGACGAACAGCCCCGCCCGGCGGGCCTCGTCGTACAGGCGGTTCTTGGAAGTGAAGTACGGCAGCTGCCACAGGCAGACGCGGAAACCGTCGTCGCGAAGGTCGGCGATCATCTGGCGGGGGTCGTCGAAGCGGCTCGCAGAGAACTGGTAGTCGCACTGCCAGTCGGTCTCGAACCAGCCGGTGTCGAGGTGCACCACGTCGCACGGGATGCGGTGTTCGCGCAGCTTCCGAGTCACGTCGCGCACCTCGTCCTCGCTCTTGTACGTGATGCGGCTCATCCACAGGCCGAACGACCAGAGCGGCGGCTGCGGGCTGCGGCCGGTGAGCGCCGTGTACTCCTCGACCACCTGCGCCGGGTCCCCGACGAACAGGAACAGGTCGAGCTGCTCGTCGCCCACGTACGCCACGTTGGTGGCGTCGAAGTCGCGGCCGAAGTCGAACGTGGTCGGCGTGCTGGTGTGCACGAATACGCCGTAGCCGCGGCTGCTCAGGTAGAACGGGATCGGCTTGTACATCCGCGGGGACTGGGCGCCCATGGCGTCACGGGTCATGGCGATCACCCGCTGGCCCCGCTTGTCGAAGCGGGTGAACGACTCGCCGCAGCCGAAGATCCGCTCGTCGTGGGCGAGCGTCGTGGCCGCCGCGAACGAGCGGCTCATGTCGCGGCCGCTGCGGGCGAAGGAGAAACCGGGCGGCGCCGAGAACGACGTCGGCTCGCCCAGCCGCCGGGTCGACGTGAGCTCGTTGCCGGAGGCGTCGCAGAGCGTCACCCGCCAGGGCTTGAAGGATAACTTGACCACCGCGTGCGGGCTCTTGTAGACGACCCCGCCGTCGGTCCGCTCCGCCTTCCACTCGCCGCCGGGCTGCGGCGGCGCCGTCAGCATGGGCGAGTCGCGGGGCTCGATCGGCAGGTCGCGGGCGTTGAGCCGCAGGCGAATCGTGCGGTCGCTCACCAGCGTGAGCTCGAACGGGAGCACGGGGTCGCGGTCGTACTCGGAGCCCGGGAACTCGGTCGCCTCGGCCCTCGCCAAGGGGGTGTCGATCTTGTTGAACGACAGACTCGGACGCCGCTCGTGACGGCGCCAGCGGATCGCCCCCTGCCCGGAGTCGGCGTCGTAGGCGACAAGATCCTCCGCGACAAAGTGCGTCGCGTACGGCGCCTGGAACTCGTCCGCGACGTCCACCAGGTCGCCCAGCGCCTGGCCGTGCGAAGACGCCCCAGCCCCGAACACGGAGCAGGCGGCAAGCGTAGCAATCAACAAGCGTCGCATCGGCAGGGTGCGTGTCATGGTTGTCGCATCGTGGTTGTCACGTCGTGTTGTGCTGGGCTGCGACGCGGCGGCCGCGCACGCCGCGTGCGGTGCCGCGGGTTCGAAGGGGCGGCCGCTCAGCGGGGCGTCGCGGCGACGCCGTACATGGCGCGGGCCTCTCGGCCGTCGCCGACCGACCCCAGCAGGACGACTTCGCCCGCCCGGCAGCTCCGGCGCCAAACAGAAAAGGTGTTGTCGATGCTGCGGCCCGCGCCGGTCTCGACGGTGAAGCCCGGGTTGCCGTGCCAGGCGTCCTCGTCCAGGCCGACCTGCTCGCCGGTGTCCTCGAACGCCGCCTTCAGCCAGGCCGGCGCCGCGACCCGCTGGTCGAACAGCACATACAGGTTGGCGTCTTGGGCGATCTCTAGCTGGATCGCGAGCTCGCCCAGGTAGCGGAAGTCGTTGACGGTGCGCACGTACTCGGCGCCGCGCAGGAAGTCGGGCAGGCCGCTCTCGTCGATTCCGTTCCACTCGTGCGGGTGGTCGACGTAGGCCGGGGCGTCCTCGACCAGTCCGCCGGGGAGCACCTGGTAGTAGCTGACGCTCTTGCTCGCCCAGAGGTTGTCCCACACGGCCGAGATCAGCGTTTCGTGCCCCGCGGGCCGGCTGGTCGACCAGCCGTTGCCGGTCCAGTCGCCGTGCACCTGGAACACGCGTTCCATGGCGCCGTCGCGGTCGATGCGCGCCGCCTCGCCCTGCACCAGCCGCCGCTCGAACGGCTTGGCGGTGTTGCTCGGAAGGGACTTGAGGTCGACCTCGCCCTCGAACACGACGACATCGGTCTTGCCGTTAGGCTCGCGGGCCACGCCGAATCGGGTCCCCAGGTCCACAACGCCGACGTCCGGCGTCTCGATGGTGAACCCCCGGGCCCACCGCGGCACCTGCGCGGTCGCCTGGCCGTGCGTCAGCCGCACCCGCATGCCGGAGAGCACCTCGCACTCCGCCGGGCCGGTAATGTCCATCTCCACGCCTGAGGCGAACTTGATCGCCAGCGACCCGGCGTCGATGCCGAGCACGCCCGGGACCAGCCCGTCGGCGTCGACCACGGCGGAGGTGTTGGTCGCCAGCCGCAGGTCGGCGCCCGGCGTGATCTGTCCGATCGACGCGGTTGCCGCCCCGCCGCGGGGCAAGGCCGACCACAGCATCACGCCGCCTAGGGCGGCCGCGAGCGTGACGATCCACACCCCCCAGGCGCGGCGTGAGACGTCGGCCCGCGGCGCCGGCTCGGCCACCGCGGCCGGCCCGCACAGGCTGCCTGCGTCGTCGCTCGAGGGCCGGGCCATCTCCCACTGCAGCAGGCTGTGCACCCGCAGCTGCTCGGCGACCGCCGGACGGAGGTCCGGCCTCTGGTCGAGCAGCTCGCGCAGCTCGAGCGCTTCGTTGTCGGTCTGAGCGCCGCTCAGTGCGATGTCCAGGAGCTTCCTGAGCCTCAACTCGTCGGGCGGGTTGTTGGATGGTTCGTTCATCGCGTCAGGCCCTCGACGGTCCCGGGCAGCCGCGCCTCAATGCACTTGGCCAGCGACCGCCGGATGCGGTAGAGCTGCGCCGACACCGAGTTGGGGGTCAGGCCAAGGCGGGCCGCCAGCGTGTTGACCGACAACGCGCCCTGGTAGCGCTCGGTGACCAGCTTGCGGTGGTCGTCGGGGAGCCGCTGCAGGCAGTTGCGGAGGGCGCCGAGACGCTCGTCCGCACCGACCGGATCGGCGTTGCAGTCGTCGCTCAACGCCTGGACGAACTCGTCGCTGAACACCAGCCGCGACCGCCCCCGCGCCTTGCGGTGGGCCAGCACCCGGTTGTAGGCAAACTTCATCGCCCAGGGCAGGAAGGGCCGCTCGAAGTCAAACAGGTCCATGTTGGACCATAGGTCGATGTTCGTGTCCTGCACCACGTCCGGGGTGGCCGAGCTGCCGGCCAGGAGCATGTTGACGTAGCAGTAGATGTCCCGCTGGTGGGCGGTGAGCATCTCCATGAAACGTCGGCTGTTGTCGTCCGGCACCGGGCTGGCCCCGCTAGAAAAGGCGATCGCAGACAAGACGGCCTCGGCTGGTCCCCGCAACACTTCAAAGGGTCCGCCGAGTGCTATTACTGAGCCGCACGCCGCGAAATCTGACGCGAAAACCGCCCATCCGTTCAAAAACCCGCTCTCTGGCAGCACGGGCCCGGCAACGCGTCTGCCCGACATCGCCGGTTTGCTGGCGACTGGCACGGCTACTCTCGATTCTACCAACCGGTCTCACACGCCGACCTGGCGTAGGCAGCCAATGGGCAAGCCTCCGCAACGCTGGAGGACATCAGGCCTGCGGCAGGAGAGTGACGCCTCCGCGATTCTTGCACAGGACCGCACGACCAAGGCTAAGCCTTTGAACTGCAACAACTTACCCCCTTCTGACGCAGCGTTCAGGGGACGTCTGAAGACAGATCAGGGAGATATTCTGCATTTCCTGGTACTAATCCCGAAGTCGGCGCGCATTACAACAGAGTCAGAGGGGAACGGCGTCGCTCGACGCCTGGACCGACAGGTGACTCACGAGGCCACAGGCGGATGGCGTCAAACGAAGACATCTCCAGCGACCCAACGGGCGACCGCGACCTGCGTGTGCAGTTCGCCAGGGTGTTCGCTCAGAACGACCGCTGGCTGTACGCGTACCTGGTGTCGCTGCTCGGGTCGCCTACCGACGCGGAGGAGGTGTTCCAGGAGGTCTGTGTCATTTTGTGGCGTGACTACGACCAGTTCGACCCGGATACCAGCTTCATGAAGTGGGCCAGCGTGATCGCCCACTACCAGGTGCGCCGCTTCCGCAGGACACAAAGCAAGCAGGCAAAGCCGCTGTCGGACGCGGTGGTCGACCTGCTCGCGGACGATGCCGTGGCCAAGGCGGACCTGATGGACTCGCGCCGGCTAGCCCTGCACGACTGCCTAAAGAAACTCCCCCCGTCGGACCGCGAACTCGTGCGGAACTGCTACTCGGACACCCGCCAGTCGATGAAGACGGTCGCCGAGCTGCTCGGGCGGCCGGCCAACACTGTCTACTAGGCGATGAACCGGATCCGCCGGTCCCTGCACGGCTGTATCGACCGTAAGCTCTCCGCGGAGACGCTGGCATGAGTCACCACAAAGCCCAATCGGCCGAGGTGCGGCGCCTGCTCGACGCGTTCTGCAACGGCGAGCTGCCGGCCGAGAGCGTCGATCGGTTCAACGAGTTGCTCGAGAGCGACCCGCTCGCCCGCGAGACCTACCTAGAGTATCTGTCCGTGGAGGCCGAACTGCACGCGGTGCACGGCGCGCGTCCGCAGTACGCCGCCGCGTCCACCACGGAAGCGTCCACGGAGAATCAGTCGCACCTGCACACCGCCGCGGCGGGACGCAGCGGCTGGCTGGCGATTGCCGCATCGCTGGTCGGGGTCGCGGCGCTGTCGAGCCTAATCACCTCCGCGTTTGATCAGCCAGCGGCGCCCACGGGCGAAAACCTAGTAGCGACGTCGGCGCCGGACGAATCGGCGCCCACACCGGTGGCGGTAATCTCCGCGACCCGCAACTGCCGTTGGCACGACCCCGCGAGCCAAACCGGCTTCGGTTCGAAGGTGTACGCGGGCCAGCGGCTCGACCTCGAGGCCGGCATCGCCGAGGTCACGTTCGACAACGGCGCCACGCTGCTTCTGGAAGGCCCCGCTTCGCTCAGCATCGACGACGCCAAGGCCGCCAGCCTGGAGAGCGGACGGCTGTCCGCCCGCGTGCCGGGCGACTCCTCGTGGTTCTTGGTCCGCTCGGGCCGGATCGGAGTCGGCGGGGTCGCGGCCGGCGGCGCCACCATGCCGCCCGCTCAGGCGGCGGAGTTTGGCCTGCTCTCCGACGGGCTGGGGGGCGGCGAGGTGAACGTCTTCGACGGGTCGATCCAGGCCCACTTGCTCAACCAGGCGGGCGACCAGCTGCGCACGGTCCGGCTGAACCCGCGAGAGGCCGCCAGGGTGCAGCCCGCCTCGACGACGGTCGCCCGGTTCCACGCCAATGACGACCGCTTCGTTAGATCCCTGTCGGCCGGCGCCGGCCCCCACGGGGGCCTCTACGCCTACGAGGGGTTCGACTACCCGGTGGGCCCGCTGTCTTGGCAGAACGGCGGGTTCGGCTGGGCCGGCCCGTGGGCCGACATTGAGACCAACGACCCCGCCGGCGGCGAGCCCACCAACCAGGTGGCGAAGCAGAGCCTCGCGTTCGGCGAGGTGCGGCAGATCGGCAACCAGGCGGTGCAGCTCGCCCAGTCCAACCGGATCCGCCGGGTGCTGAGCACGTCGATCGGCGGCGTGTTCGACGCGGCCGGGCTGGTGGAGAACCGGGACGGCCACCGGCTGCTCGGCAAAGAAGGCAAGAGCATCTACGTCAGCTTCCTGCAGCGGGTCGACCGGACCAACGACGTCTTCTACGGTTTCGAGCTCAACCGCGGCGACGGCAACGCCAACCGCGTGCTGTGCGTCGGAAACGGCGCCGAGGGGGCTGGCTACGGAGTCACTTCGAACTACAACGCCTATGGGGCCTCGAACTACCCGTCGCTCGGCGAGGAGAACACCGACGCCAACCTGATTGTGGTCCGCATCGACTTCCGCGACGACGACCGCGACGAGGCGGTTGTTTACCGCAACCCGTCTTCGCTGATCGATGAGTCCGAGAACAAAGTTGACGCGCGGCTGCGGGGCAACTTCGCCTTCGACCGCATCAGCCTGGGCAACTTCGAGGGGCAGAAGATCCACGAGGTCGACGAGGTTCGGGTCGGCACCAACTACCGGGCGGTGACCGGCCAGCGGGACCACATCCGGAACAACCTTACGCGGCCGGTCGCCCGGATCGGGTTGCCGGTGGCTCCTGACCGCTTGGCGGCGACCGCACCCCGAGACCTAGCTCCTTGGAACACGGGGCTGCTCCTGATCGGACCGACGGTGCGGTGACACTTACGCCCGAACGGGCACGGCGGCTTTTCAACTCGACTCTTCCAACCAGCATCGACTTACTGTCCGTGGCCTCGTGTGAAGGCCGTGGTGCGGCGGGGCCGGGCGACCGGGCAAGTTGAGCGACTCGATCCTGATAGATCGCGGTGAACCGGGCTCTAGGCAGCCCGCCTCCGCGGGGCATGAAGCACAGCAAGCATTCCACCACCTGAGGCGCAAGCATAATGAGACGAGCAGCAGCAATCGCGGCGATGGCGTTCCTCACCGCAGGACCAGTGGTCGCCGCGACGATCGACGGCCAGGCGATCCCGTCGGAGGGCCTCCCGTTGCTGGCGACCCAAGACACGCCCACCGGGTTCGGCAACGCCACCGGCGGGGGACAGGACTCGGCCGGCGGTTCCGAGCTCAACCAGCTCTACGCGTCGAACGACGGGTCGACCCTCACGGTCGGGCTCACCGGCAACCTGGAAGGCAACTTCAACAAGCTGTTCATCTTCTTTGACGCCGTGCCCGGCGGCGAGGGCACGCTGCTGGGCGACAACGTCGACGGCGGCTTCAACGAGATCAACAACCTTGCGGGCCTGTCATTCGGCGGCGCCGAGATGGACCACGGCCTGCGGGTCGAGGTGGGCGGCGGATTCCACGGCGTCAACTTCTTCGACCTGGTGGACAACTCCGCCGTTTCGATCCTCTCCGGCGGTGGGCCGGGCGACCTGCCCATCTCCAACGTGTCCAACGCCGGCGTCACCGTGGGCTGGGACAACGCGAATGTGCTGGGCGTGGACGGCGCCAGCGCCGCCGACGCGACGACCGCCACCACGGGGCTGGAGTTTGAGATCGACATGGCTGCCGCGTTCGGGGTGACCAACCGCGCCGTACGCGTGACCGCACTGGTCACCAGCGGCGACGCCACCTTTATCTCCAACCAGGTGCTGCCCGGGATCGGCGGCGGCGGCAACATCGGCGGCGGGGATGGCCAGACCCTGGGGTCGGTGCTCGTGCCGGTCCCGGAGCCCACGGCCGCGGCGTTGTGCCTGGCCGGCCTGCTGGGGATAGCGGGCGCCCGCCGTCGTTCGGCATCGGCGTTCCCAGGGGCGCAGGGTTAGACCGCATCGCTGGCGACTAGAATGAAACTGGAGTTTGTAAAGCGGATTGCTACTCAACTCACCGCGTTGCCCCGCTGGGATCGACAACGCACTCTTCACACGAACTCACTGTGACTCCACCGGAGATTCCTCCCATGCTTCGACACGTGATCATCACGGCGGCGGTCGGCGCCGCCCTCGCCCTGCCTAGCAGCCTCCTCGCGCAGCCGATCGACAGCTTCCTGATCGGTTCCAACCCGGCGGAGGGCGAGTACGCGGCCGGGCAGGTGCTGGGGCAGTCGCCCAGCATCCTCGGCTGGACCGGCGCGTGGAACGACGGCTTCCAGGGCAACGCCTGGCAGACCACCGAAACCGGCCTGACCTACAGCACGATCCCCGCGGAAGGGGGCGCCATCCAGACCCTGGCCAGCGGGTCGCCGTTCGAGGGCCGCATCGGCCGCACGCTGTCGACGCCGGTCACCGGCGACTCCAACCGCACGCTCTACATGAGCTTCCTGATGCAGGCGACCACCGCCACGAACGGCGCGCAGATCACCTACGGCGGGCTGGAATTGCACAACGCCAACGGGCTGGGCGATGGCGACCGGCAGTTCCAGATTGTCGTCGGCGAGAACATCGACGGCGTCTCGCAGACGCCCAACTACTCGGTGACCCTGTTCAACTCCGACCTCGGCGGCGGGTTCGCCGGCGACCTGGGCGTCAACGACGAGCTGACCAACCTGTTTGTCGCCAAGTTCGACCTGTCGGACGTTAACGACGCCGACGCCGTGACCGTGTGGCGGAACCCCGAGAACCTGGCCGACGAGTCGCTCTCCACGGTCGACTTCTCGGCGACCGGCTTCAACATCAACATCAACGCGACCTCGTTCGCGCGGTTCGGCATCGCGGGCGACTTCACCTACGACGAGCTACGGCTGGGATCCACGTACGAGAGCGTCACCTCGGTGGTGCCCGACTTCGTGCTCGGTGACACCAGCGGGAACGGCTTTGTCGAGTTGGCGGACTTCGACCCCATCCGCGACAACTGGCTGGAGTCCAACGCGAGCTTCGGGTCCACGCTCTCGCGGATGGACGGCGACCTCAATCTGAACGGCGTTGTGAGCATCGAGGACTTCCGCGAGTGGAAGGACGCGTTCCTGGCTTCGGGCGGGTCGGCGTCGGCCGTGCAGTCGGCGTTCGCGTCGCTGAGCGTGCCCGAGCCCTCCGCGGCCGCGATGCTGCTCGTTGGCCTCGCGGCGGCCGCCCGGACCGGCCGGCGGCGGGGCTAGGGCCTCCGGCGGCGTGCTTCTCACACTCAAAGCGCGGCGGGCTGCGGCCCCGGCGCCTCATCATCGATAAGGCAACATCACCATGAAGGCCAACTTGCGAACAGCCGCCCTGGTTGCGGCGCTCGTCGCGGCGCCGCTGGCGGGCGGGGCAATGGCGCAGGAGAACGTGTGGATCGGCTCCGACGGCGGTTTCGGCGGCGACGACTCCTCGTTTTCTGACGACAACAACTGGAGCTTCCTCATCGCGCCCGACGGCACCTTCAGCCGCGCGGTGATCGGCGGCGACCCGGGCCTGGAGGTCGACCCCAACCCGGTCGTCGAGGTCGACGGCAACCTCTCCTCCACGCCCACCCCGCAGCTGGTGCTGGGGCGCGGCGGCGCCTACAGCGGCACGCTCAACGTCGGCGCCGGCGACAACCTGGTGGTCGGGCCGGGCACCGAGTCGACCCCCGGGGATGTGCCGGCCAACCTGATCGTCGGGCTGGACGGCGGACGGGGGAACCTGAACGTGACCGGCGGCGTTCTGACGATCGGCAACGAGCTGTCGACCCCGAGCAACGGCGCCGCGGCCAGCGCGATCAACCTCTCGGGCTCGGCGAGCGTATCGGCCGCCTCGGCGTTCCTCGACAAGAACCTGACGATCACCGGCGGCGGCGTGTCGCTGGCGATCTCGGGCAACGCGATCCTCGGCCAGGGCGGAACCCACACCTGGAGCTTCGGCGCCGGCGGCCCGTCGGCGATCTCGGTGGGCGGCCAGCTCGACCTCGGCGGCACGCTGAAGATCGACACCCAAGGCATGACGCCGGCGGTCGGGACCTCCTACCTGCTGGCGGACTCTGGGTCGGTGATCAACGGCTTCGGCGCGGTGGACGTGTCCGACGTGCCGGGCATCTCGCTCGGGGTGAGCGTCCGCACCAGCACGACGGCGGGCGGCGCCAACGGGTTTGAAACCAGCATTGTCTTCGAGCAGCAGCCGGTGCTGATCGTCAACCGCCGCACCGGCGAGGTGTCGATGCAGAACCCGGGCTCGTCCGCGACCCTGGCGTTCGACGCCTACACGGTTGGTTCGGCGGCGGGGTCCCTCAACGACGCCAACTTCCAGACCTTTGCCCCCGCCGATGGCTGGCAGGTAGCCAACAAGAGCCAGACCGCGTTGTCCGAGCTGAACCCGCTCTCCTCCGGCACGGTCGACGCGAACACCACGGTCGCCCTGGGCGACGTCTTCCAGCCGGCGCCCCAGGCGTTCGGCGTCGACACGGACGATGTCACCTTCCGCTTCTCGACGCCCGGCTCGAACGTGTTCACCAACGGCGCGATCCTCTACGAGGGGATCCCGACCGACACGCTGACGCTCAACGTCGACCGGACGACCGGCGAGGCGCAGATCCTCAACGGCTTCCGCGAGGCGGTCACGATCGACACCTACGTCATCGACTCGGCGTCGGGTTCGCTAGACGCGTCGCTGGCGGGCTGGGACAGCCTGGAGAACCAGAGCATCGGCGGCGGCCTGTGGGAGGAAGCGATCCGGGACGCCGCGACCCTGTCGGAGCTGGCGCCCATCGGCGACCTGACGATCGCCGCCAGCGAGGGCGTGCTGATCGGCGCGCCGTACGACTTCGACAGCCCTAGCGCGGAAGAGGACCTGGTGTTCCGCTTCGCGTTGCCCAACGAGAATTTCTTCCGGTTCGGCAAGGTCGTGTTCGACGACATGCTCACCACGCTGCCGCAGGGCGGGCTGGTGGGCGACTACAACGGCGACGGCACGGTCGACGCGGCGGACTACACCATCTGGCGTGACAACCTGGGCCAGGACCCGTCGGCGCTGGCGGCCAACTCCCGCGCGCCGGGCGCGTCGGGCCCGATCGACCAGGGCGACTACGTCGCGTGGCGGAACAACTACGGCCAGACCAACGCCGCGGTGGGCGCCGCGGCGGGCAGTGTCCCCGAACCCGCCTCGATCTGCCTGGCGGCGTTGGTCTTTCTAACAACGCAGCGGAGGCGCCGCTGACCGCGCCCTCGGAAGGGCGCGGCGGAGCGCCGCCCGCGGCCGGGCGGAACGCGGCTCGGCCCCTACCTTTGATTGGAGATGTCATGGAACGTCGTACCGCATTTACGCTGGTGGA